TCTCAAACACGCCCCTTCGTTGCTCCATGCCAACGGGAGGCTCGGGATGCCTGGACGACTCGGCTGGCGATTCGCTGATGCGCGTGACACGACCGCCCAAAGTCCTCCACGGCGCTGCAATAGTCATGGCTCTATCGAAACTAACTTCGCCGCTGTGCATCATCGCCTGCAGTGCCAGTATGTCCAGAATCCACGTTAGACAGCGATCCCGTCTGACCGAGCGTCCTGACCGTCGTGTGGAGATGAATCGTGACTATTTTGGCGCAGAAAGGGCAATAGCTCCTTCCACGGAAGGCTGGGGGGCGTAGTACGGAGAGGACGGACGATACTCGGCACCGCTTTCCTCACCATTACACGATTATACGAGCCCCAACGACTCGTTACCGTCCTGCCCAGCCTATACCATTCACGGCACATCTATTAGCTTGGCCATGGCGCGCTGAGACGTACCGCGCTTCCACCACGCGTACATTACACCATGCATCATCTATCGTCGATTGACTCCATCGTTTGCCTTTCAACAACTGACCCTGCCGAGCAGTGCAGCTCCATGGATGTGCCTCTAGTGCATTTCATCATGCGCAGCAACCTGGCCACAAGACATCTGCGAAAACCACTCAGCCGAGACCAGCATATATGGTTGGCGCCAGCTTGAGCACGCAAGTCCTTGGCTGGCGCGCGATATGGCAGACTTTTTTTTACCATGCTCTCACGACCCTGTGCCCGAACGGTCGCGATCACGACGTGCGATGGATGCAGCTTGGCTACGGCTCATTAATTCCGGTCTGCGACCGGCCTTAGCGGCCCAGCTGCAAAAGCAGAACGCGATAGACGCACACACTGCAACAAGTCTTATGCCGACTCAGGATCTTGTACACCTTTGCCACACGAGTCCAGTGGGTCGAGTTTAGCCTTTCGACACGGCTTGCGGCGTCCTCAGATCCATATCCAGTTCCCCGCTCTCTCGTGCTGAAAGAAGTAGGTCAGACGGTTCCCAACGAATGAGCACTGCGCAACCCCACGCTCTAGAGCGAGCACGCCGTAATCAACCAGCGACCCAACCTCAAGGCCTCCGTACCCGGATGATGGATCCCTTGCTCTGCTTAGACGTGATCCTCTCCATATTTACCAAGGTATATTGTGACGCAACCACTTTGCACTCGGGCTGCAATACCGCTCGTCTGACAGTGTTACAGCATGCTGACCGGCCAGGACGTAATGCGGCAAGATAGGCTCTATCCAAGGGGTACCGATACTTGCTACTTCCCACCGGAGATTGAATGTGAATATGTACAAGGGCGTTGGTACCGATCCACGAGGCCATACTAGTTTGCCCGATGCACAGCTGACCCGTATCATCATCTATCCCGCGGCTGACACTGTCATGAAGGACAACAAGTCCCGTATGCGTTACGCCACAAGCTTCATTAACACATTAGCGAAGCCACTCACGCGCCAGTCAGCCAACCAACTTTGTGTGACCAAGTTGCACCTTATTATTACACCCCATGCTACCAAAGTATCATGCAGGAGGCTCCATCCATTTGCGCCAAAGACAATGCTTCCAAGGTCGGTAAACCCTCGCTATCTTTTCCAAATACAATACGGCAAGCTAGCTCGCCAAGCTCAGGCTCTTCTTTACTTTATTGCCGGGCGAAACTCCTTCAAAGGCAAACGACTTGCAATTCGTCGGCTGCCTAGCGCTCGATTCGCACAACGATGTTCCAGCTTGGACATCTGGCGGTGCTTTCGACGCACGCGGCGAGTCATCGTGCCACCATCATGCAACAACCAACAAAGGCAACCGGCTAACACACTCTACACCTCCCTCCGTGCTCAGAAGCAACTCTGGATTGTCGTTTGAGGGGCCGATTGCAGCTAACCCTCTCAGACAATGCAAACGAACTCTGCGTACAGGAAGGACGTTGCACCTGCCGGAACGGATCCCAGGCCGCGCTTGCCCGTCTAGGTGCTGCAGTACATCGCTCAACACATACAGTTCAGCTGTCTTTGGAAGAGCGACGCATCGCTTCCTCACCTCAACGCGAGACATCCTCTGCACCACGTGCATGTCACCGAGCGGATTAGGACACCTTGGCTTGCGCCACTATGTGCAATCACAGTAGTGCGCGCCCTCCGGATCGACCTGTCGAGTTCTCGCTGCGCATCCCAAAGCGACTACTCAGCCTTGTGCAGGGACAAAGGGAAATGGGGCAGTCAAGAACGCCGCACGCAGCCGTTGACCCAAAGGATCCGTAAGACGTGCAGACAGTCTCACCGGCTCGCACAAGCGGAGTGCCGACCAACTGGATTCTATGCTGATTACGGACACGTCGCGGGGATTGACCACCGACACGAAGGCTTTTCATGTGCATCATCACCTTCCATCGTTCGTCTCTCACTGCAGCTACTAGTGTTGTGGCATGCTTTCAAAGGGATCACCTTCCCCGACTGCACTGCCTGACAGGTTCGGACTCCACACAGCTTATATCCCTGCCGGCATCCATCTATTCATCATGGCTTCATTGGACGACAACTCCCTGGTGCGAAAACGGATATGTCACGGCACGCATGCTACCTGGTCAGGATTCCCGGGTTCCAACATAACAGGCATTGTCGTCGCCGATGGGTTCGAGATTGGGCTCCGCTACGTGAAAACGACCGTCGCCTGGGCCAGGAAGCTCGTCGATTCAGTCGTGTCGTAATAATAAAGTGCATCTTGGAAGCATGTCTGATACATTTGATGTTGGTATGCTAATGCAGTAAGATCCAGAGCAGCTTCACGGCATGCTTCTCATTCGTTCGGGACCACATGTTGAAATATACAGGTAACGAAATCAGAAAACACTCGTATATCAGAGAAGGACACAGCCCAAGAAGGAAGGTAGCAGAATGCGTATGTGGTACAAGTCCATGTACACTGTGCAAGATACTAGTCAGCTTCACTCTACCATCTTTCCGTGAACACAGCTGCACCACTCTAGTCAGACCGATAGTCCCATAAATCCAAACTTTTCACACCAGTTTCCACACATGATGATGCATCAGCGACTTTCCAACTAATACTCACGTCACCTCAAGCACTAACAACGTCTCCACCACATGACCATCATCTCAGATCTAACAAGAACCCCCATGTCTCAGCACAAATAGCATGCTCGAGCCACGTCGCAAATTCATCCGACGGCCGTGCTATGGAAACAGTGCGACATGTTTCATATCACTGCGATAGTAGTAGGTGTTTGAAACGGGCATCGCATTGGCACCGATGGTGACATTTGCTTCACTAACAAACACACCGCCACGATTCTAGGGCTTGGCCATGCGCATAGATACTGACGTCTTTGTTGCTCGTGTTGACGTTTGACTATCTAGCTCTGCATTCGGCGTTGCTGCGCGGCCGCTGGTGCTGAGTTGCACAGCCACGGCCTTAGGTTGCCCACCGGATGACGACTTCGTTCTCACGATGGCTCAGCCCCTCAATTACACACATGTGGCGGGGAAACAACATGTTGGTCAGCAAGGTAGGCGTCCAGGTCATCCTTGATGATATGTTCATGACGGATATGAGTCAATTCATGGCTGAGCACTGTGGGCCCACGTATTGTAGTGGTATATTTGCGGGACCAACTGATCGTTATACACATAGTATGATACATGCTCCAACGCCCCTCTCTAGAACAGCTTGTTGTCCGCACTGGCCTTGGCCGCGTCTCTCCTTGCGCTCTGCTTCTTCCTGTCTTTTGCCTCACCGGGCGGCTTGAAGAACAAAGACGGGCTCTCGCCATCCTTCATTGTGTAATTCAAGTATCCTCTATGCGCTGGATCGCGGTAGTACTCGATGTCCTTTCTTGCCGTCGCATCGGGCAGCCTGTACTTGTATTTCGACCCGATCTGCTTCATGATAGCAACCATAGCCTCCTTCTTCTTTTCTTCGGCGGCCGTCTGGAGCGCGGTGATGATGGGAGATGGGATCTTGGCGGCTGCGGAGCGAGCAGTGAGAGAGACGAGGTCTGGCGAGGCTTGGATAGAAATGGTGGGGTGTGAGTCGCCGCGAAGGACGCGCTTGATGGATGTGGGAGAGTAGAAGCGTGTCGTCACGCTGCCGCCAAGGGCTTCGATGCGTGCGATAGCGTCGGCGGAGGCGCGTGAGACGACGATGTGGATGGGTGTGGTCAATTGCTCTGGATTCTACGGCCACAATTAGCATTCGCGTAGCCATCATTGATTAATCTTCTCATACCCTCGCGAGCAGCTTCACGCCATGCCTCTTGACACCGTGCAGACACCTCGACTTGGCCAATTCCTTCATGGTGATGGGTTTCTTCGGGTCCAACCTCCCCTGGTCAATCCAGCTCTGTATCCGGTCCAGGTTTATGGGTGACATCTCGACCTTGAACGGGTTGTATTTCCCCCGCCCTCGCTCGGGGTTGGTGATCCATTGTGGTGTCTGACCTCCCTCGAAGCCCGCGGGGACTTTGCCGTGTGCATGCTGACCCTTCTGACCCCTTCCACCAGTCTTTCCCTTTCCCGAGGCAGGACCGCGACCTCGTCGGATCTTTTTATTGTAGGCGCCTGCGTTGTCGGAGAGCGAGGAAAGAATGGATGCGCATCTCTGCTGGGCGGGCACGAAGAGGGGGGCGACCGATGTCGCTGCGGGTGCTCTGGAGCATATGAACAGGAGAGATGAGGCGGCTCGAACCGCTCTTAGCCGTGGTGGCATGGCTGTGGATGGCTATCTTCCTGCTGGCGACGAGCTCGTTGGTGTTGAGCGAATGCGAAGATTCGATGATGAGTAAGCGGCCATGTCCGCGGGATCTAGCCTCATGCGGATGTTAACTTGTGCAACCACGCCGCATGTCCAATCGCTCCTCAACTCCACGCGTCAAAATGATCTTCCAGCCCCCTCGCTTCAGCTCGTCTTAGAGACTGGCTGGCACCTTGTCTGAAATCAGCGAAAACCTCATTTTAAGGTCCATGACCGTAGATGAACCTTGACAATGGTTCGTCTTTTCCCGCCTCAGGGTACAGGTGAGTTGACGACTACATTGAATTTAGCATACCAAATAGGTTCTCACTAACGAAAAGGTCTACATCCTGCTACTCCCAAGAGAGAAGAACCTAATATTGCAAATGGTGCCACTGTATTGGTCTTCTTAGCGCCAACAGCGGCCACGGCAAGGACTGGGGCGCCCCAACCACGCACCCCAAGGATGGGACTGCCTGGGGAAAGGCATTGAACCCATCAGCCGACAACAACAACACCAACAACGACAAGGCTTCGCCTGCTACACCTGCAAAGGGCTTGAACGCCGCGGCTCCGTCCTTTACTCCTGGTGGAGGCACTGCGAAGAAGTAGTGGGTACGTCTACGAATGGAACAAGCCTGACTAGGACATAAGCTGAGACTCAAGCAAGAGGAAACGGCGTAGATGGTGACGGCGAATATGACGTCGACACAACAGGCATGTGAGGTGTACGTGTTATAACGTAGACTCCTAGGTTACTGTTTGTGCGTATACTTGGAGGACGGTGTATTCGTGTATTCGCCAAACATTGAGATGTTGGAATGCGAGCATTAACATGTCAAGCGCTCAGTGCACGAAGGCCAGCGTGAACCTGTCTGTGTATAGCACCAGAACTAGACTTGCCAACAGTACATATACTCTATATCTCCCTATAAAGCTTCCTGTGCTCTTGCTAACAAGCCTCGCATAACACATCTTCCTGCACATAAAAACCCCCATCTACAACAACAACACCAAAAAACATAAGCAACAACCCCTTCCACAACCCCAACCCATTCAACGTCACCGGCCTCGGCCACGGCGCAGACTGGGGTACAAGACGCCCCTACGACGCTCGCTCCCACTCAGCCTGGGGCGCAGGCAGCGGCGATCTCCAAAGTTCATCTATTCCCTACCATACATCCTCAGACATGCGATACTTGGGTCCGTACATGTCATATCCTTTGGATCCAGACTCGCCGCGCGGAGGCTCTTGGTATGGCCCGTACGGGGGATCGCGATGGGGCGGAGGCGGTCGGGGTGGGCGGTCTCCTTCTCCGCCCCGGGGACCGGGCTACTATGATGATTTTGAAGAATATGGTGGATCGCAATATGGTGGAGGTGGGTGGGGTGGGCGGGGTAGGTCGGGCTCTCCACCACGAGGCGAGGGTTACTATGATGATTTTGATGAATGGTGGTAAGCGATGGTTCGCGTTGGCAAATGTACTCATCATGGTCTGACGTGTGGTACTCTTATGTTAGCTAAAATAGTACCATCGAGTCATAGTTGCAGAACTCACCGTGTCAATTATGTGCTCGGGTCACCCACTGACGCTTGATGGCAAATGTATGCTATGCTGTTGAACGTAAATGTCAATCATTTCCGGCACCTACTGATATCAGAATTGCCCCTATGGAGACCTGGCTTTGCAGGATGCAAAGACATTCTGCCAAAAGCCCCGTTGGAAATAAAATGAGGGATGTTGGTACCGACATCTCATGAAGATATGCTGGCTGCGTAAGCTTGCGGATGTCACTTCTTAAATCCATGTATTTAAGCTTCTAAACTCCGAGGGTTTTGTTCAAAGCCGTAGTAATCCATCGGCCAAGATCTTGTCATGCATTGGGTTGAGCCTGCAGTTGCCTGTGACGGCAAATCCTATAGGACGCCTAGACCCAGCTTACAAATGTCCTCTTGGCAGAGCCTTCGCGACAGTGTGATGCTTGGTGACTGCCATCGTCATCATGTGAAGGATCCCATAGGGTGTCCGATCGACGTAGGTTTAGTATAAGAGGTAGCCGCGTGTCAAATAGAAAGACCGTAGGTATCGTACTTCGCCTCGTGTAGCTCACCGAATTTCTAGTCTAATCTCTGACAAGACCACTATGTCGCATCTTCAATACTTCGACTATCCTGGCTTCGGTGAACGATCAAAACGGGATCTGAACTACAGCCAAGCGGTCCGCATCGACAATCGCATCGAGATATCCGGCCAAGGTACGTCGCCCACTGTGTATAGATCATCCAATGCTAAACACATCCAGGCGGCTGGGATCGTACAACCGAGGAGTATCCAGAAGATCTTTCGAAAGAGGTTGATCAAGCTTTCGACAACGTCGAACATGCTATTCGTCAGGCTGGTGGGGAGGGCTGGGACCAGGTCTACAAGACGCGCTTCTACGTTACCGTACCGATTGATGAGATTGCGGAGCCGATCATCCGTAATATGAAGGAAAGATGCAAGAAACATGGGCCTCTCATGACAGTGGTTCAGGTGGTGGCTTTGTATAAGACGATGAAGATTGAGATAGAAGCAGATGCGCACTTGGGGTGATTTGCGCAGCAACTTTGGAAGATTGGAGCGCCTTCCGTTCCTGGTAGATATTCAGCGCATTTAAAGAAACTTACATACGTAAAGAATACGAAGCCCATAAGATGTAAAATGTGTATGTGAACGACGCGCGAAGAGAGAGTCAGTGTCCCGTACTCTATGTGGCCCCACTACGTCATCGTCATTGCGGCTGCCCGCTAAGTGGGGCCATGACTGCGCCACAGGTCACAATGATCACTCTAGGTAGCCTCTCTCTTCCAGTCTCGACGACGACTGAGACGCCACTGAGGTAGCATCGAGAAATGAGAAGAGCTCCTTGTTCATCAATCGCGGCGTTGCAGATGCCAGAGAGCTTTCCGCGGCCATTCACCCGCCTGCTCGTGCGCCACGGAAGTCGCCATCGCCATCGCTGACAATCGTCACGACTCCTTCGCAACGCAACAATGCCAAATCGATTCCGGAGCAAGCTGGAGCATGCTGGAAGAAAGACAGGCAATTGCCTACGGACAGTGCTCTGGCAGACATCCAAATGCCTCATGTGGACAGTTTGCGCGCCTTGCATCTGTTGCTTGCTAGTATTCCTGAGCCCTGGTCGACATGGAAGAAGACGAAATCTCTCGCACGAGATAGTACTACCAACGATGCCCACACCTCGCAGACGCGCACTTTCCACTTCAGGGGACTTACAGGAGGACCAAAAGACGCTGGCCCAGCCTCGCTCAGCGCTTCTGAGCAAACTACCGTTGGAGATTCGGCGAATGATCTATGAGATGGCTTTGGGAGAACAGACAATCCATGCGTTGGTTTTGGACGGAAAGTTACTTACTAGGAAGTGCACACTTCGAAACTGCCTTTGCTACATGCCCTGTTCGCCTGGTCAGAAGCTGCAATTGGCACTTCCTCTTCTAAGAACGTGTCGGCAGATGTAAGTTGAGTCAGATGCAATTGCACAGTTTCAATACCAGTACAATACTAACATATAACCGTTCCTAGCTATTCTGAAAGTATCGAATATCTCTACAAAAGCAATGAGTTCTTCATGTCCACAGACTTGGAAGACTTTCCAACAGCAGGCTATCTCTGCTACTTCTTCCAGCCCCAACGTATCATGCAAGTCAGCAATCTCAATATCGAATGGGACCTTGATCGCAATCAATACTTCCAAGTCAACTTGATGCCTGCGCATCACCGAGTTGAGTGGTACAGATTGTGGGATGGGCTCAGTAAGATGACTGGTCTCAAGAGATTGCGCATCAAGTTGTACTTCTGTCTCGACCTCTGGCAGGGATGCTATGGCGAATTCTGGGAACAGAACAGCAAGGAGATTTTGCAGCCTGTCAAGAAGATCACGGCCCCAAGAGACTTTGTCATCACTCTTCCGAATTGGCGATGCTCGACTGATATCGATACCGGCGAATCCAACTGCGTCTTTCAGCTACCAGAGAGGGACGACCAGGAAAGTAGCGCGTCCTGACGCGTCGAGGGACGATTCTCGGACGATCTTAATCACACGAACGGCAGCTTCTCGGGAATGGCTGTGGAGTATTACGGATGCTCATAAGATGTATGGGGCTTCGCCAAACTCAAGCCGAGGGGATACAAGGACCTCCCAAAAGCCAATGGAATCCATGTTGGACCAAAGTCACCGCCTGGTCGGAGAACAAGACCCCAAGAAGCAAAACGCAGCCAAGACACGACATGACAGTGACGCACAGGAACCATGCACCCAAGCTCCCACCAGCGGCTTGAACAGGTCTTGCTCCGCCCGCTGTGCCGGCGCGCGTATCTTATCGCATCGTTGATCAACGTGACAGGCGGCGTGGACTTGGCAGCTTGGCGAGCTAACTCGTCGCGTATAGCTTTCCACAACCATCTCGTTCTCCGTCCGCCATCATGCACAGCCAAGAGCTTCGAGCTAGGGTAGCTCCACCACGTGCAGTAGCTGAGCAGCTCAGCTCGAACACCTTGAGCCGTGCGGCGTCCTGTACTTCGGCGTCTTTGATCCATCCGAGGTGTTGTACAGCTCTGGCCTTTTCCCGGCGCAGATAAGAAGCGTCATGGCCGCCAGGATGCTTGTCCTGCAGGAACCGTTCGCTCTTGCAGGTTCCCGGATACTTCGGGGTTGAGATCTGCTCACGATGCGCTCTTTCATTGCTACCTCCGTCCTCGTCGGACTCGCGTCCGCTGCCGCTGTACCTGTTGTTGCTCCCCGTGGAGACGGCTATGGTCATGGCCATGGGCACAGCAAGTTCAACGTCCAAGTCGGCGTCCGGCCTTACTACCTCGTCGACAACATGGATGAGAGTCCGTTGAAGGAGAAGCTGGAGAGCTGCTCGGAGCAAGAGTTCAAGACCTCGGACTTTGTCCTTGCGCATCGTGGAGCGCCGCTTCAATTCCCTGAGCATACTCTTCAGAGTTACAAGGCTGCGCATCGCATGGGTGCTGGCCTGATCGAATGCGATGTTGCGTTCACCAAGGACAAACAGCTTGTCTGCCGCCACGCTCAATGCGACTTGCACACCACGACCAACATTCTCAACACCACACTCGCCGAGAAGTGCACGACCCCCTTCTCGCCCGCCGCCAATGGCACTGCTGCGTCGGCCAAGTGCTGCACCTCGGACATCACTTTGGAGGAGTTCGGTACCCTATGCGGCAAGATGGATGGCTTCAACCCCAACGGCACCACGGTAGAGGAATACATGGACGGCACACCCTACTTCCGCTCGGATCTATACGCGCAAGATTGCCCCAAGCTCATGACAGTCGACGAATACATTCCCCTGGTCGACAGCTGGGGTCTGAAGTACGCGCCCGAGCTCAAGACACCAGAGGTTGAGATGCCTTTTGATGGATACACACAGGAAGCGTATGCTCAAGATCTAGTCGACAAGTTCCGCGAGTACGAGATCGATCCGAGCCGTGTTTGGCTGCAGTCTTTCTTGCCCGATGACGTCTTCTACTGGATCGACAACGAGCCTGAATTCGGTATTCAGGCTGTGTACCTCGACGAGCGCGTTGATACTCCGGAGGGCTACGCCAATGCTACTGCCAGCATCCCTGAGCTCGCTGCTCGTGGCGTTAAGATTATGGCGCCCGCTATGTTCGCTCTTACCAAGTTGGATGATGACAACAAGATCGTGCCTTCCGAGTACGCCATCGCTTGCCAGGAACACAATCTGGACATTATCGCGTGGTCATTTGAGCGCTCTGGGTGGCTGCAGGTCGATGGTGGTGGTTACTACTACCAGTACGTTGCCAACCGCACCAACAACGATGGCGACATGTACGATGTACTCGATGTACTTGCCAAGGATGTCCATATCTTGGGTATGTTCTCGGATTGGCCGGCCTCAGTAACCTACTATGCCAACTGCATGGGCTTGTAGGCGACACAGCCTTATATAGATCCCAACAAGGAAGAAATATATCATACATTGGTCAAATGACCTTGCTTACAATAACGCAAAGTGATCCTCTCTCAACCCGCATCATCCTCAACATCACTTGCGTTGCCGAAGATCCTTAGCTTTACCGTACTCTCCCCCATATCCCAGTCCGTCCTACAACTCGGATACGGCAGCACGACAATAGCGTCGCGTGGCTTCGTCACCATCCTCACACTATCCAGCAGCATATCCTCTAGCTCCATCCATTCGCTCTGCCAGAGCCACTGCGGACTGGGATCCATCAATATGACCCGAAGATGCCTCAATCCCTGCATATTCGCTATTATCGTCCACGCTTTCTCCCAATTCGCGGTATCATCGCGGTACACGACGCGATTCGAAGGACCGCGACTCATATAAGGCAGCGCGCGGATAGCCCAGCGGAGATGTAGCGTGCGGATCGAATCAAGGCGCGGTTGTGGGATCGAAGCGGGGAGGTAGAGGAGATGCGTGATGTGGAGGAGGGAGAAGGTATGTGCGCGATACAGATATGAGATGGCTTCCGAGTACCTAGATTGCAGGATACAGTCAATTTCCACAACGCCATTGTGATTGCCATGAGAAGGGGAGGGCAATACATACATGCGCCTACAAGCCCTCAACACAGTCGGTCCACCAGGGTACAACCTCGCGCCTTTCTTCCCAAACACCAGCACGCGACACATGTACTCCCTCCCGCCGTCTCCCTCGCTGTCGCACAGGAAATGGCCGAATCGCTTCTTCTTCGTGCTCAATGTCAGATGCACAATCTCCGCCCCCATGACATGTTCGTACACCAATTGCCGCAGCTCAAGCGGCAATCGCGTGAAGAAGTCGCTCTGGCCCTGCGCGTGCGTGCGCGCATCCATATCGACATCCGGCTCAGACGTTAGACTGATGGTGGATGCGCGCGGGCGCACCGTGCCGTGCTCCGGCGGCGCGGCTTTGAGCGAAAACGGGTTCCGGCTTTTAGGCTTCGGGGTCGACGGGTCGGTGGAGGAGGGAATGTCGGACGGTGTCCAGCGTATGCCGGGGAGGCGGCTGAGGAGTGACTTTGGGGGCTTCATTGCGGGATTGATGGGGTGGAGATGCGGAGAAGGCGGTGGTACTGTACCTAGGGAAGGGTGCAAGGACGCCTCCCTTGCGTGGGCGCGCCAGCATCAGCCGCGGCGCAAAGTTGGGCAGAGTGGTGATGGCGATAGGCTGGGGAAGGGTAAGCGTGCGGGGTCTTGGCCGCCAAGCTTGTTTCGAGCAAGCTTCGTCTGGGGGAGTGGGGGAGGTGCTGTGCCCGTGGGGTTGTAGATGGTCTGGTTTGCTACTTTGGCATGCTAGCTATCGATATGGTCTTTCCATGCGCGCGTCTGTTCTTGCCTTTATGTGCTCAAAAAGCGATACCAATACCCTGGCCTGCTTTCCGAAGATCGCGTGAGAGGTACCGTACGTACGGAAACTCGCATTCTATCGCTCAAACAAGTATCGCGTATTCCTCAGTCTTGATCGGCCGTATGTACTAGCAGTGCCGTACATTCTGGCATAGAGCCATTGCTTTGGTCATACTAACAGGCAAACTTCGACAATGCCATGATGATGCCGTAAAGCCGTCTATCTCCATGGCAGAATTGGCAAGACCCAATCACCCAATCAGGCAACTTGTCCGCCTTCTGCAATTTCAGCTGACTGGCAAGACCATGCCGAAAGATGGCAACGAAGAATGCAACTCTCGAGGAACAGCTTCGAATGCTCCCATTCAGCTCTGACCTCCACTAAATCTGAATCAACTGACATACCGGGCCATCCGGACGAATACCGTCTCCAAACGCCACGCTGTATTGGTGCTGGTATACGGCACAGCCACCTGCAGTCATGAACCAAGCGCGCTTTCCCGGGGCGTAAAGTCACTTTGTCATAGACAGTGCCCCACGATAGACTACAGCTGAATTACCTCTATCATGGCTAAGCAAGAAGACAAGACCATGAGGAAGCGTCTTCGCGCTTGTGAAGAGTGCCATCGTCTAAAGATCAAGTGCGACATTAGCACCAATCCTGACGCGGCAAGCTGCGAGAGATGCACCCGCAACAACCTGGAATGCGTCCCTGCAGCGCCACGCCTTCAGCGCAACCGCATCCAGGAGCTGGAGGCGCAAATTCAAGAACTCAGCAATCTGCTGCAGAAACAGAGCAACAACAGCCCAACGCCAAGTCGCTCCCCTGGCGGACTCTCCACCAACACGCTAGGCCGGTCGCCCGGTAGCCTAACAGACAACCACTACGACGCCATCCTGTCATTCCTTGATGCGCGCATCCCGCCTATCCAGCAACAACACCTTGTTCATCTCTATGCGCACCAAGCCGGATCGGCGTGGCCTGTCGTACGACTCCCAGGAGATCTCGAATATCTCCGCACAAAAGCTCCTGTCCTACTTCTCTCCATCGTAGCATACACAACTACGCAAGAGGCGCAAGGCGTAGATCTAGAGACGCACGATGAGATAATTCGCGAATCGATGCATGTCCTCGGCGAAGAGGTTTTGGGCCGAGGACAAAGATCGCTGGAACTTGTGCAGGCACTGCTCATAGCCACGTACTGGAACAAGATTCCGCGAAGAGGTCTAATGGGGAGTTGTTACCAGATCCTGCAGTTAGCCGCCGACATGGCCATTGATGTAGGCATCGCGGGAAACTCGCTTCAGCCCACTCCTCCAGCTTACTTTTGCCGGCATCAGGATGTGGGATCGCTGGAGGCACGACGTACCTGGCTAGCCTGCTACATGGCACTCTCCAGCTCGTCAATCAGTACGCGCAGGCCGAATCCGTACCCTTGGAACGCTTACCACGATGAGTGTCTGTTGTACCTGGAAAGCCAAGGCGATGCTTCCGACATGCTACTCTGTCAGCTCGTTCGCATTACCCAACTGGACCAGGAGATATCCAATCAACTATACCTCTGCCAGATCGCTACGTTTGTAGACGGCAACGATTATAACACATATGCCGTTATCGAGACCATGAAGAACAAGCTCGAAGCGTGGGTCGCTCATATCCCACC